ATCCCGTCCATCCCATCTTGGCGGGATGGTTGTGATGGCACTGCCATCCCGGATGGCCAGCCTTGGCGGGAGAGAACTTTCAAAGGGCAACTCCGTATTATTAAAATAATTAATAAGTTATTTATATTGTATTGTATATTATAGTGTAGCTATAAGATACTAGTTGAGAGTTATACGTATTAGAGTTCGTGACTGCTTTTGGCGTTGCAGCGACTCCTATCATGAAGCTAGTCTTATTTAAGATGAATTTCGATCGTCTATCTCGTACGTGACGCGCGTACACTGTACTAGCTTGAATCAGGCACTGAGCCTGATAGAATCTTCGCAGCGTGCTCGCTATGACTGGACTTTCCTATCCCATTTTGTCTGAATCTCTGTCCAATGTCTTCAATCGCATCTAAAACCGGATCCATGTTGGTGGAGCTAGAGGCAATAGTAATTGTAGTGTTCCGGATCAAGGACTCGGTACTAACTTAATTAGGCATAGCATTACCGAGGCCCGAATTCTGCCCCTGCGAGACGGATAAGCATGGAGCTATGATTCGACGTGATAACAGGCGTCACAGCCGTGTCTTCTTCTCCCTGTGCCTCTACTTTATCAGATATTTTGGCCGCTGCGTGCTGCTGCTAACGCTTGCTGCTCTCCTTCTGCTGACTCATCTTCGTTCATGATTAGACCCGAGGGCTATCCGTTCCCTCCGTTGGTTGCGCAATGGCTACACAGCTGCCTGGAGAATCAGTCGAGGAAGGCACGCTCCTCCTCTCGCCAAATGAATTAACGCACTTGCTCCCACCGCCGCCGGCAAAGACGACGAATAGACCATGGGTGTTCTGGGTAGTGCAGGTGCTGGTCATGGTTACCATCATCGACGTTGGCGCCTTCCTTGGGGAACCACCCAAGACACGGATATACGAGACCAATCTGTGTCTCTCGTATTATCGAGAGCATGATAGCTCCGTCATAGACTCCAATGGCAGCATCTCCGAGAAGCTCTGCAAAATTGACGCCGTGCAGCAGAAGCTGGCTATGATCTTTGGCTGGCAGGATACGTTCGACGCGATCCCCAGCATATTGCTCGCTATACCCTTTGGTACCATGGCGGACCGGGTTGGCAGGAAGTGGATCTTCGCGGCGAGCCTGCTGGGCTGCGAGCTGAGTTCTGCATGGGTTTTGCTGATATGTAAGCCGCCCCGTGGGTACTTGAACTAGAAAACCTGGGGTAGCTGATGACGAGCAGGCTATTTCAAGTCCCTGCCGCTGCAGCTGACATGGTTGTCTTCTGCGTTCTACCTGATTGGGGGAGGACCCATTGTCGCCGCTGCAGTTGCCATGACCATGATCTCAGACATTGTCCCTCCGGACAAGCGTACCACTGTGTTCCTCTACCTGACTGCTTCTATGCTGGTGGCAGAAATGATCGCCCCAGCCATTGCTGCGAAGCTCATGGAGAACGGGGACTGGCTTCCCCTGCTCCTGGCGCTCGTAATACAGTCCGCCGGCATGTGCCTTGCCATCTTTTTCCCTGAAACACTGCATATGCGGGACTTGCCTGAACCCAAGGACAACGTAGATCAGTGCACAGAGCTACAGCCGAAGGATGGCGGTTTCACGCCCATAGCGCAGTTGCGAAACTTTCAGACTGCATACACCTTCCTTAGGAAAGATTTACGGCTCGCTTTAATCGTGTTTGGCTTCATGGCAAACAGGCTGGGCCGACAAGCCATGTCACTGCTTATTCGATATGCCTCCAAGCGCTACGATTGGGAGATCAAGCAGGCCGCCTACCTGCTTTCGTTCCGTGCTGGCACGAATCTCGTAGTTATAGGAGTGTTTCTCCCAGCGATCAACTGGTGTTTGCTCAAGCACCCTCAATTTTCGTCTCATTGGGCAGACCTTTGGATAGCCAGAGGCTCAGTTATCATGCAGATGGTCGGTTTCCTCCTCATGGGCATCGCCGGATTTCCTGCGCTTCTCATTCTTGGGCTGCTCGTTTACAACATGGGCACAGGATACAACGCATCCTTGCGCTCAGTCGCCGTCAACACTGTTGGCGGGCAGTCGAGTTCTCATGTTGGCAAGCTGATGAGTACCATCGCCATCTCAGAGGCGATAGGCGCCATGTTTGCTGGACCAGCCCTTAGCCAATTCTTCCAATGGGGTATGGGTCTTGGCAGTGCATGGCTTGGCTTGCCATTTCTAGCGTGTGTGCCTGTGTTTGGCATGATGGCAGTGGTATCTTTTGTGATCAGTACGAAAGACAGAGATATAGGCTACATTGGGTTGCAAAGCGAAGATGAGGAAGACGCGAACAGTGAGGTCGGTAGAACCGCTGCATGTGATGATGAACCATCTCTGAGTCACGTCCCGTAGTACGTAGTAGTAAACGATCGCTCAGAACAACTTGAACTACAATGCAACAGGAATTTTTTCGCAGGCAACGACGTCTATATCTTGTGATGACTCTTATATAGGACCCTTTACTATGTGTAAGATTATGAGTCAATTGGTGTGATTTATTTATTTATTGACTCCTACTCGGTTTCAGCCGTGTGCTGCGCAGCTATGCCCGGAGTGACAGGTGTAGCAGACAGCGTACGCGGCGCAGATCAACTCCGTGCCTACGCTGGTAAATGGGTACCCCCTACTGGTGTTGTGTAGGTGTAGGGTTAGGTCGCACGGGCCTTGGGTATGGGTCGGTGTAGGGTAGGGTTGCTGCTTATATAAGACCCTACACCTACACCTACCCATTCACCACCGTAGTCCGTGCCGCCCCACTTCATCCCTCGAACGAGGCCATCTATCCCTAGCAACCTACTATCTTCTATTAACTATTATCTATACGCTTTAGCTAGCTATCTAGATAGTGGTTTCACTAACTATATACTTTAATTCTAGGCTCGTAGAGGCTTGCTACCTCGTCTATCGCGTCCGCTATACCTACAGTCTCCCTCTAGCGTTCAGCGTCGTCTACTTATCTTCAATCCCTACTTACCTAAGGATCTACGTCTATTCTATATACTTAATAGCTTTAGTAGCTAGCTATAGCGTGCTTAGGATAGTCCTAAGACTATTATATCTAGATAGGTTGGCGAAAATGCAGTTCTAGAGGTCCCTATACGTACTACAGCGGAGGAGTAATCAATTTATTCAATCAATCACTATCACAGTGATTTATCACAGTCCTTGATCAAACATCATAATCTGACAAGTGTCGACGTTGACGAGCGAGTAGGTCGTGATCAGCTCGCTTGTGAACTACGTTGATCCTAATCCTAACTACAATAATGCCTTGTTCCACTTTGACAACCCAGCTAGTTCATTGATCCACTTGAGAACATCCTGTGTTCGACTCAAGAAGGGAGAATGAGAACAATCAACAAAAATCTCCTTGACAGGTATGCCCATCCCCTTGATTCGTTCGACCATTGCCTTTTGAGTTTCCGGTGGCAGAGCTTGGTCCTGAAGGGTATGCATGTATGAAACGTCAATGTTCCTCCACGCCTCGTTAACTGTCTTCTGGGAAAAAGATTCAAACACGGACCCAGTAATCAGACTGGCCCAATGTTCTTGCGCTTTTGGTGGAAGATCCTGGTAGAAACTTTGCGCAGGATCTCTTGGATAGGAACTAATCTCAGTCTGAAGATAAGGATTAGCATATAAAAAAGCATGCTATATATTTGGTACGTCAGCTTACAGAGTAGATTTCAGCTGGTTTTATGCCAGCCGCTGACCCCGCAATCTGTAGTATATCCACGACAGTCTCTCCCTTGATAGGGACCAAGGCACACATGTACGCCATCCATTTTACGCCGCCTCTAAGGCCTGCTGCTGCGCGGTCCCTAACACCTAAACCAGCCATTGCGTCTGTGGCTAAGAAGCCGCCGAAAGAGTGCATTAGCACGATAATCTCCTTCCCTTGACTTGCCAAAGCCTCGACAATTCCAGTTAACATGGCTTTGTCATGTTCAAAGGCATTACCATCAAGAGGGTAAAGGGAGTTGGTGGCTAGGCGTGGATTGATGACCTCGTAGCCGTATGCTTCGAGAACACCTTGCAAAGGGCCAAAATGAGCGGGCACATGGCAGCCACCAGAGACTAACAGGATAGCAGGTTGGACTAGTGAAGGCATCGCTGGGAAAGCTAGTTTGTAATAAGCTGGACTAGATGGTATAAGTGGAAGTAAGATGCTTTCAGTCTCTTAATAAGAACCTACCTGTATTTATACCCGGGGGTACGAAAGTATTCATAGTAGGTCAAATATCCCGTTTAAACCGGAGGTACTTCGAATGATCCAAAATAGCTCTATTTGTGCCCAAAACATCTCAATATTACAGTGCCAAGACTGCTCC